AATTTCTTTTTTTTGTGGTACCAGGGATTGAACTCAGGACCTTGTGCTTGCCAGGCAAGTGCTTATTCTACTGAGCTATCTCCCAGCCCCTACATAAAATATTCTAAAACCCTTCTCTCCTTTTTAGTTGGACATTTTCATTTTACCAAGATTTACTTTTAGATAACTCAGGCTATCTGGGTATGATGGTGTATATCTATAATCCTAGCATTCAGGAGGCTGATGAAGGAAGACTGCTTACAGTTTGAGGCCAGCCTGGGATACTTGTAAGTTTAGGGCCAGGCTGAACTACAAAGCAAGAGCCTACCTCAAACAAAACAAAACCAAACAAAACAGATAAACTAACACACCAAGCAAATAAACTGTTACACATCTCCAAATCAAAAGAAAAATCTATAGCCATGAGCTCAAGGCCAGCCTGGGCACAAAGTGAGTTCAAAGCCAGTCTGACCTGCACAGTGAAACCCTGTCTCAAAAAAAAAAGCTTATTAATTGTTATATTACACATACTACATAATTATAAGTAACAGTATAATTTAAATTTTATTAATAAAATCTCACTAAGTACCTGCTATATGCTAGGCCATGTGTTAACTTTGTTCCTTACAAATTAGTGACACACACGTGACCCCAGCACTCAGGAGGCAGGGTCAGGACTGCCATAAATTCAAAGTCACCCTAGGATACTGAGCTCAAGGCCAGCCTTAACTATATAGCAAGACCCTATCTCAAAAAAGCAAAAACATAAACTAATCTAGGAATTTGATTTTTTTTTTTTTTTTTTTTTTTTTTTTTTCAGAACCAGGGATTGAACTCAGACCCTTGCACTTGCCAGGGAAGTGCTTATTCCACTGAGCCATCTCCCTGGCCCCTAGGAATTAGATATTATCTGCAAATATATAACTGAGATTCAGAACAGTTAAAATATCTAGCCCAAGAGCACTCAGCTAGTAAATCATGGAGTCACAATTGGAAAAATCAAGCTATTTTTCATTGTATTTCTTTGAGACCATCTTTCTTTGTAGTTCAAGCTAGCCTCCAACTCACAATTCTCCTGCCTCAGCTTCCTAAGTGTTGAGATTACAGGTGTGCACCACCATGCCATTCTCTTTCTTTTAGGGGTCAGTGCTGGGGATCTAACCTAGAGCCTCTCGCACGCTCAGCAAATAATCTACCACTAAGCTTTACTGCTAGCAACAAAACCCAACTCTTAAGTTTTCTTACTCTATGTTAGTGACCACTGCCAACACAATTTTTAAAAACTTTCATCTGCTGCTTCATTCATGTTTCTACTCATGACCGCTGCTGGCTAGCAAAATACCTATCTCTCATATGGGCTTTTGGGGTGGCCACTGAATCTAGCCCCATTGGTTCCAGTGAATAAAACCTGGCTAGAGTTGGAGGCTTACGCTATCTCTGGAATTATAATACCACAAAAATAGGCAAAACACGCCAAATTCTTCAAATATATTAAGACAAAAAAGGTTCATGTGACTTTGCTATTTGTTCCTCTGTTCTAAGTATTACTATAAAGAATAATGACCTCATCAAAGTTCACAAGGTTGCATAGTCATGACCCCTTAGAATTTTTACCTTTCTAAAGAATTAAATCTTTCATATACTAAAGTGTTATTATTTTATTTTAAATTTCAGTAAATCTCAAGATAACTGTTACTCATTTTATTTTATTTATTTATTTTTTGTGGAATCAGGGATGGAACTCAGGTCCTTGCGGTTGCCAAGGAATGTTACTCATTTTAAACAGCTACTGTTCACAATTACAAGCTATACGAGTGGTCCTGTAACTCCCACAACTGGTTTACTTCCTTCCACAGTATAATTTACAGTGAGAAACAGAAAGCTAGGGGCAGGGGAGATGGCTCAGTGGAATAGTGCTTCCCTGGCAAGTGCAAGGGCCTGGGTTCAATCCCAGGTTCCAACAAAAAAAAGAAAGAAAGAAAGAAACAGAAAGCTGGTTTAGGTAATACCTCTAATGCTAAGCCCCTTATTTGATAGTCAAAAAGTAGGCTAATTTGAAAATTCCCAAATAAGCTAAAAAGGAACTTGCACAGAAATGTGCTACATACATTTAAAATAGCACTAGCATTATTGAACTATATACACATTTGAAAAAGTAAAGTGAAAAGGGATGTCACTAAAAATTAGATACTTGGAACAGTTTGCGCAGGTTTTCTTAGCAGGAGGCAGCAGGCAGACAGGTAAGGAAAATCCAGCAATGCACTGTGTGGAACAGAAGAGCTGAGTAGATCCTGTCTTGTGGTACGCGGTTTGCCCCTTACGAAGCATTCTTTTACAACCAGAACAAAAAACTTGAATCGCTACAGCTGGGACTGAAGGAAGCAATATATTTGGGGCAGACGATGTGAGAGAAAGTTGAAAGCCTGGGGTCAGCTGTTGAGCTACCAAAACAAAATATAAAAAAAAAAAAAGTTTTAGAATTAAAATTAAGGCAAATATATTATTTTACAGTACAAATTTTCTCAGTTTTGAAATCCAACACTAATGAAATAATAAGTACTCCAAAACAAGAGATTTCAAACTTTGTCTTTATCATGGCTCATGATAAAGATTACATTTTAAAGTATAATTTATTTCTCATATGCATGCATTTGTGGAGGATTGTGTATAATTCAGACATAAGACAGGTATTGTGACACACATGTATATTCCCAGAACTCAGTAAGTTCAAGGTCTGCATGAACTACAAAACAAAACCTGTCTCAAAACAAAGTAAAATAAAACATAGAACCATAAACAATTAAAATACAAATTTCACAAAACAATAATTTTCTTAATGTATCACATTCTGATTCTATTTCATTTTTTTAAATGGTGAGAAAGGCCAGCTCCACTTGTCTGAAAAACATGGAAGAGAAAAATATACGAAGTACTTCCCTTTATTTTACTAGACAGTGAACAGTATTAACTGTAATTAACTTTTAGTCCCAAGGCTGGGGTTATAGCTCAGCAGCATAAGCACCTGCCTGGCAAGTGCAAGGTCCTGAGTTCAATCCCCAGTACCAAAAAATAAAAAAAAAAATTTCTACAGTTCTGTTTCTTACCCAGAGGACTTTCATTAACTGAAAATACAGCACTGATTTTTAGTTCACTTCCTTGAGTTTTTGGCTGTTGGGCACAGGCATACTCCTTATTTAAAAAGATCAAGAAAGATAGAGAAATACACTTAAGTAAACTAGAAATTCAACCAAATACTAATTCTATCATTCACTATTTACACATCCTAATAATAATCACCATTATAAAAGTACAAATCTATAATGCACTGTACTAGAATGAATCTTTACAAAGGCAATCTTTCAGAACTGAAAAAGTTTTAATTTAAATTTTTATATTTACTTTTTAAATGTAATCCATAGCTATCCCAATCTCATATAACACTTGGTTTTTAGCATGTATTTACAAGAGAGTGATAAATAAAATTAAATATGAAATAGAATTTAGATCTAAATTAGTAATTGTAGTCAACAGACTTACCAGCTGTCATATCTATTAATGGCAGAAAAGATACAAGAATTTCAATGCAATCTGTTCATTATACACAAATCAGTCTAAATCAGATTAATCGTTAATATATCTTTAAAATGTGCAATAAAATGCAATCTTTGAACATATTTAATGTCTATCTACTCATCCTGAAAGACTGCCCTTTATTTATAAGTCACATACTTTACTTTCTTTTTTGGTGCTAAAATAGCCTTCTTACATTTTAAAATGAAGTTTAAAAAGATATCTGACTTCTTTGAAATAGTAGTGGTATTTTCCTCTTAGCAAAATAAACTGTTTACTTTTGAAATGTCTGTAGACTATCAAATAGTAAAACTGAGGAACCCCTGCATTAATTCACCCTTTCCCATGATCTGTATTAAGCCCTGAGAAGACGCTGCCTGTGCAGCCTACACAGCTGCACTTTCTGTTTAAGTAAGGAAAGCTGTTCAGTAGCTTGCTGAGGTCACAAAGACAGTAAATAAAAATACACAGACAGTAATCAAGCCCAGGTGTCTCGGTTCCAAAATCCATTGCATCTCCCTCATAGATGTACACATATAGTATCACTGCTACAATTCAAACTCTGGCCCACAAATGAAATTAAGTGGATTTTTTTGTTTTTTGTTTTTGACGGAACCAGGGATTGAACTCAGGCCCTTGCACTTGCCAGGGAAGCACTACTGAGCCACCTCCCCAGCCCCAATTAAGTGGTTTTGTCATAGCTTCTCCCACCTACTTTCTCTCATAGCATTTATCGTAACACTATTTCATATTTATTTGGATGCTAATTAATGGCAAACATAATCTTCATACACTAGACTGGAAGGACTATATCTACCATGTGTAGAAATCATATTTGTTTCTTCACCTCTCTATACCCAATACCCAGCACAGTAAATGCAACACAATAGAGAATATGATGGATTGATGAACCTGCAAAAGGTAGAGGTTCAGCACACCATATATACCTTTTTCTACTCATCAGAAAGAGTGCTTAAGATTTTTTTTTTTGGGGGGGGGGCGGAACCGGGGATTGAACTCAGGCCCTTGCGCTTGCCAGGGAAGCGCTTATTCTACTGAGCCATCTCCCCGGCCCAAAGTGCTTAAGATTTTTAAAGAAACTATTCTGGGGCCAGCCAGATAGCTCAGCAGACTAAAGCACCTGTTTAGGCAGAGCAGCTGGGGTTCAATACCTGGTGGGCCCCGGCCCCCAGGGTGCCCTGAGACAGAGATTGAGACTGGGCATGGTGGCACACAGCTGTAATCCAGCGCTTGGGAGGCTGAAAACAGGAGAATCACTATGAATCCAATCTATGTAGTAAGACCCTGTAGACCCTGTACCAAATACATTTTTTTAAAAAAGGAAAAGAGAACAAACTATTTTGCTTTATCATCAACTCAATTTCTTAATTTTTTTTTTTCCTGAATTTAGGACAAGGTCTACAGGGTCTCACTACGTAGACTGGACTTGTAGTGACTCTCCTGTTTTCAGCCTCCCAAGTGCTGGGATTACAGGCATGTGCCAGCACACCCAGTCTCAATTGCCAACCCCGGCTGCTGCGCTCTGCCTAAGTGAGCGCTTTAAATTTCTAATATTTTCACTCCACAAAGTATTTCAAATCTTACTTGCAAGCCCAAACCTCACATATTTCCTCCTCACAGATGTCTGAATTTCACCAGGTAAAAACAAGCAACTAAAAACTCTTCAACTTCCTAATTCTCTTCTCCACCAAGTCTATAAATTTATCAGCCAATTTTTCTCTTACCTAACAGGAAAAAGCAACACGCCTAATGACAGGTAAAAGGCTGCTTACCTTCTGAACTCATTTCTCCTCTCCCTTCTTGAGCTTTCCATTCTCCCTTCACATTGCACCTTTCTCTGTTGCCATGTTTTCTTTCCCTCTGGTTTAAAAATGAATCTGTTCCCTTAAGAACTGCCCTCAGTGAAAGAAATTAAGACACTCTCTCAGGCTTTCACAGAGAGCACATTGGTCAAGCAATGGCTGTGACTCATCCACATGGCTGCACTGACAAAGGTTCTACAATCTGAGGTACAGGACCTCAGGATAAATCCTGAGGGGATTTCACTGACCTTCTCAGACCAAAAAGCTACAACTCTTGTTGCATAGTTCCCGGTTTACCTTGGTCTTAACCATCCAGTAGAAAAGTATGAAGACGAAATATAGAAAATAAAGCCATGCTGTTAAGTTGAGCTGTGGGGGACTCAGGTCAATAATTTCTGACATTGCCAGTTAACCAGAAGACCCAGTGCTATTATGGGCTACTGGACTCTTTTAGAATATTTTGCTGAGTTTACACACCTATAATATTCAATA